GAAGCTCCCCAACACCCCCCAGCCCCTATCGCGACCAGCCCGGGGCCGGAGCCGAGCTGCTGCCAGGCCCAGAAGGGGAAGCCGGCTGTATTTGGAAGGGAGAGGGGGCAAAGCTGTCATGTTTGACCTTCCAGCCAGGGCTGGGGCCGAAGCGGGGTGTGCAACGCGCTCCCCTTGCAAAGCAAGCGTAGTCATATGGGGGATGCGTACAGCGCAGCTTTCTAACACCATTTTGAGAGTATAACTGGGAGGTTTTGCTCGTGTCATGTCTGCGTGACCTTCAGTCGTTCTGTTCTGAGGTTTTTGTGTGTCATAGCGAGGTTTGGGCTAAATTTCAAGAGGTTTTGAAGCAATGCTTATGCACGTGCTTCGCTTTACCCATAAACCTTGAGGGTCTTTGCTCACCGGCCCAAGTTGAGCACAGCGGCAGCGATTACGAAAATCAAGGCCTAGTGTACAGTTTATTGTAGTGGTACAAAAAGCACAAGATCTAACAAAATGCTAGGAGAGAAATAATTTTCATTTTAGTTACTGTTGTATTAAACATCCTTTGCAACTATGTTTTTCAGGTGCAATTATAAACAAGAAATCCTAATACTTGAGGATACACTGAAAATCATGTGAAGTATGAGCAGAATGCAAAAAATTGTACAACTTTCTGCCATGCCCTGATAGATGGTTCCATGCCCTGCTGCTTACAGGCTTGTCAGACTGCGGGAGCAAAGGAAATGTTCCTCTATTTGACAATTTCCATTCACAACCTCGCTTGATTTCACAGTATTGCTGCTTTAAAATGTCATCAGCAGCAGCTGAAACAGCTACAGAACAGAAATCGCTTGAGATGAGAGCTGAAAGCATATGGTCACGTCTTCATTTCCAGCGCGGTCACAACACAGGTAACTGTACCCTCCCAAGCTCCACTAGTACAGGTAACAACAGGCATGAAGGTAAGTCACATGGGCTAGCTGGATAAGTGCCTTAACCTTTTACATGCACCTCAAGTTCATCCTACCATGCTTTCACCAGTGTTGTTACTCCGGTAGCTTACCAGAGTGCAGAAAGCGCCGCTGTCACACCTGCGCTAGCAGCATACCAGTTAAGAAACACAGTGCCACAGAAGCCTATATTCAGGAACACAGAAAACCCGTATTTAGGATCCAAACACGGTATTTGCTCTCTTCTCTCCCTCATCGCCACATGCAAAAAATTGTACAACTTTCTGCCATGCCCTGATAGATGGTTCCATGCCCTGCTGCTTACAGGCTTGTCAGACTGCGGGAGCAAAGGAAATGTTCCTCTATTTGACAATTTCCATTCACAACCTCGCTTGATTTCACAGTATTGCTGCTTTAAAATGTCATCAGCAGCAGCTGAAACAGCTACAGAACAGAAATCGCTTGAGATGAGAGCTGAAAGCATATGGTCACGTCTTCATTTCCAGCGCGGTCACAACACAGGTAACTGTACCCTCCCAAGCTCCACTAGTACAGGTAACAACAGGCATGAAGGTAAGTCACATGGGCTAGCTGGATAAGTGCCTTAACCTTTTACATGCACCTCAAGTTCATCCTACCATGCTTTCACCAGTGTTGTTACTCCGGTAGCTTACCAGAGTGCAGAAAGCGCCGCTGTCACACCTGCGCTAGCAGCATACCAGTTAAGAAACACAGTGCCACAGAAGCCTATATTCAGGAACACAGAAAACCCGTATTTAGGATCCAAACACGGTATTTGCTCTCTTCTCTCCCTCATCGCCACAGCTCTCGCCTTGCCTCAGCTCTCACCGTGCCTAGTATTCCAGAACAAACTGGGGCCAAAATCCCAAAGAGGCGGCAGCAGCTAGTTACATTTTCCAAGGATGAGAGCAGGCTAGGAAGATGGTGGAAGATGAGCTGATGGGATAACACAGGAGGGAGGTAGTCTCTGTACCTCTCAGAGCTCTGCAAAGTCTGAGCAAATTACATCAATTCTTAGACATACACAGCCATGTTCCACACACAACCTAACAACTAGGGTACAGTGAGTTACCTCCCAAGTGCCAAGGGATACACAGAGACCAGGAGACAGGGAAACCTCAGTTCTAGCAAAGACCAGCCGTGACTGATGGCAGAAGGAGGAGGATGCAAAGGAAGGCACGCTGTCCACTGTTATCGGACTTCAGGAGGAATGCAGTTGGCTTATTACTTAAGGCCAATTTTTTCTCTTTTAGAGCCATTCAGCTTCTGAAGGAGTCTCCGAGATCCCCATGCAAATGCTTAGGAATGAATGCGTATCTGGAAGACAAAACAGCTGAAGAGGACAGAAGCGTATGCACTAAAGTTTCGAGGCACAGTGGAGCATGAAAAGAGGAAGCAGAAAATACAGCATGGTGAGAGAAAAACATACAGAGGCTGCAAAAGGAGCAAAGGAAGCGATTTGAAAGAAAACACAAGAGAAGGTATAGCACAATGATCATAAAGAGAAAAAAAACAAAACACTGACCAAAGCCCACAAGATTTGGAAATATGCATATCTTGAAAAAAAAAAAAATACTGGTCTAAGTTAAAGTGCCGTAAGTGTCCTCTCCAAACAAAGCTGGTGCACCCATCATGCTATGAAACTGCACAGGAAATAAAAGGAAGGGTCCTTTTTTCACACTAGAAAAATGTTTTATGTTATATTACCAGTATGCAATCCTCATTACCCAGAGTAAAAGAAATGTAAAAAGTCAGAATAACAAGGACCAAAGAATCTGGAATTTAAAAGCTATTTCCATAACTAAACAGGTTACAGCACACATGAGGAAAGTCACTTTTGTCACTCACTACCTTGAGTTTGGGGGCTTTTTTTAACCTTTGTTTTCTTGGATGACTGCTACCACCAAAAAACCAGTGCATTGAAAAGTACTTTGAATTAAGTCATCATTCTTGTTTACAGCTTTGTCCCTAAGACCTTGTCCAGGATATACTGATAAATATGGTAACTGCTTTTCAAAGTCAGCTGAAGACACATCCAGCTGTTCATTCCATGAATGCCCAGCCTTGGCAAATTGACCTGCTTTACTACTTCAAATAACCCAGGAATGGGCTCATCTGACATTCATGTGGAGGCATCTTCTTTACCTTCCGGGCGTAGGAAAGCATTACTGTAAAGGACAGTTCAGATTTCCTTCCCAGGAGCTACTAGGTTATATACTGCCAGGAGTCTGGTCCGCATAACCCCTTTCCAATAGCTGAGTCTTATACCGCGCACACTGCATCAGTCTCTGCTGCACCAAGCTTTCTCCAGGGTTTCAAATAGGGTATTTAAAACACAAACCAGCTACCCAGCCTCCAAAATCCCTGTCCAGAGAGCAGGCCTTAACTCCTTCAAGGACAGGCCTTTATAAAGTCCTCAGATCTTTAGTCAGTTTCACATCCAATGCTTTGATTTTAGTGTCCTACGACCCTATAAAATCCATCTAGTATGCTTCAGGGTTTTTAATCTGTCAGCGATCCTTTTTACGAAAGTTTTATTTTCTCTCCAATTGATAGATCATCAATTAAATACAACCAGAAAATTAGCTGGAATGAGAAACTTGTAATATTTGCCTTAAGCTTTACTTAAATGACAAAGACTTGGCAGCACTACAGAATTAACTTAAGCATGTAACTGCAACATGAAGGGAAGAAATACGTGTGAAGATTTAATCTCATTAGTTAAAATAGTTACTTTTAATGGAAAAACTGAAGATCTTACCATGAAACGAGTTAAATAATAACAAAGAACACTAGCTCTTCAGGAAAAGATGCTGAAAAAAATGAGTTACTGTAGATAATAATAGTAAAAATCAGGGAACAGAAAATTTCATACCCAAAAAAAGCGAGAATGAGTTAGTTGGAAATGTAGAAAAATAATATATGGGGGAAGAAAAAAGATTAACTCATGGGAATACAGTTACAAGTGTGAATTTATTTACTAATGAAAACAACGAAGTGAAATCACGACTGGTTATTTTGTATCATCAGCAACTACACCTCTACATTAAGCTTGAAATCTGAGTAGATTTTATTTTTCTAAAGTTATAGTCGGTGTTACAGTCTGCCCTGTTTTTTCTGTCTTGACTTACAACCTTTTACAAACATGCTTCTTTCTTTGGGACATTCAGGTGACAGGTGCCAAACCAAACATTACACTTACATAAATAAGTCAAACTCTCTGTTCCATGAGATACAATACACTGCAGCTTCAAAACCTTATAAAACATTTAAAAGTACAACAGGAAGGTAAAACAAAAGAATTAGGCATATGCTTTTATATTGTTCTAAGCTATAAAGCTTGGTTGACTATACTGAGCTACTAATAACAAGAGAGTTAACTGAACATGGAGGTTAGCCATACAGCAAGGCTTGTTAAGTCCCAGCAGAGGAAATCCCATCTGGATGTGCACCTGCAGTTCCTGCTGGTTTGGGGAACCCAAAGCCACGTCCTGAAGCCACAGAAGTGATTTGATGAGGTGGGAAACTCAGGGAAGGACACGCACCTCACAAGCAAGGCTTGAAGTGAGGAAGAAAGATCAGAAGTCTAAGTGAACAGAGAGAGGAAGAAGGGAGGAATGGGCACAAGCAATAGAAATGGGTAGCTGGAAATGTACAGTAACAAGAAATAGGTACAGTTAAAATGCCTCTGCAAAAAAGATTCACAGCATTAAAGGCTTAGTCATTGGGCACAAATATATTCTCAATCGAACACAGAGTAAAAAAAATTATATAAGACTTAACATTTTAAGAATTACATAACTGTATTAGAAGTTGTACTGGATACCACTTGCTATCTGGTAAAATTCACTAAAAGAAAGCAGTTTTATCACTGAAGCTGCAGTGGCCTATTATAATACATCATTATGTAAAGTGGCATTGCTAATCTATTTTTCATTAATAATGTACAGCACGGCAACATTTACTAAATGAAACAGAACAAAAACCAGAACTTTACTGGACTCTTGATGTCACTGAACAGTCATTATCCCATTTGCAAAAAGTTACAGTAGAAAAGGAAAAACAAAAAACAACCCAGGGATTCTGACAAATCTTGTACCAACACCAGCCAGGGCAATCATCAGCTCCTGGAACACATGTTAATAACTTTTTGTGGCAAAGACGTGCAAGCAAAAAAGAAGACTAGGTGAACACCAGCCTCTCTGCACAGTGCAGGATGAAGGAGTATATTTGGTTTAGCAGAACTGTAGCTCCATCAAGTTTCAGGAAAACTACAGAACTCTGCTTAGGAAGAAACAAGTTTATTCAGCAACTCTGTGCACTGTAGACAATTACTGCCTCTTAGAACTTCAAAAACATAATAACAGCCATCATAGTTGTTCTCCATTCTCATTTTCTTTCCAGATGCTTTTCCCCTTCTCTGTTTCTGCAGCTTGCATTTCAATATATTTTGCACTAAAAATCTGAGTAAGACAATATAATTAATACCACTGATTTCCATATGCGATACTATAATCTATTTAGTTACATTCCATAGCAAAATCCGTGCTGCTAAATATTTGTAGAGCACTCCAAAGCGATGCAAACCATCAGAATCAGACTTACGAATTAGATGATGCTGAATGAGGAGACCACCAGCAACCAACACTGGAGTTACCAGAGGGGCTAAACAGGGCTGCATCCCCTTCCCACCACTTGACACCAACCACGAGAAGGCTGAGTGAAAGCTGTAACACAAGCTTTGATTTCCAAAATCCAACCACAGACAGGTTAAAGCTGGTGTTGGTGTTCAATTGCATACTTAAACAGAGACTGGAATTCTGTTGTAGGTTATAGGACTCTTCCTGTTCTTTCATGCTGTGCCCTAGTATCAGACAAGCTCAGAAATCAGCTGGAACTGTACTCCACTAGGTACTTGTAATTCAATAAAAAAAAAAAAAAGAAGTATTGTATTTAGTTGTGTTCATCAGCATTTTATAAATACCCAGCTAGTTATGCCTGCTATTAGAAAGTTTTATTTCTAAAAGAAAACAGAACACTCAAATTAACGCTCTGATGAGTATTCCAACTTTGCTGGGAAAATAAGCCTACAACAGTTATATTTCTTGGGGAAAAAAACCCCAACAAGCCCAAAAAAAGACCACTGACTGGAAGAAAGGCATAGTAAATCAGTTTTATCAGGGCAAATCATGAATTCTCCTTCAAATGACAAGGCTATGTCCTTGTTTCCCTTCA